CGGCCGCGCACCTGCAGCCAGGGACCTCAGGCCTGCACCTCCGCCCTGCGCCCCAACTTCCCCGAGCCTGTTAAGGGGTCCAGGGCCGGCTGGGCTGAGGATCTGCTTTCCCGCCGCGTGCCAGGTCCCGGGCACCTGGTCAGGTCCTACGCATCCTAGTGCCACTGCTGGGAACAAAGGGGGCTACGTCTGGAGACAGGCGAGTCCGAGAGATTCTCAAGTCCCACCTGTCTCAACTCTTGTGACTTTCGTCAGACGTCTGATCTCTCTGTGCCTCGGTTTCCTGATTCGTGAAAGGTACTAAGCCCAACAATGCCTTTCTTGTGGATTTCTTGAGGCTTTTGTGTGTGTGTACATGAAAGGTTAAAAAAATGCTTATGATGTACTTAGAACATTGGAAGTACCAGATGAACATTGGCCATTACTGCTATTATAAAAACAAAAACAAAACAAAATTAAAAACCCAAGATGATAGGAGACAGGCATGTGGAATTTGGGGAGATGGGAAGGGAAGGTGGGAATGTGGGAGAAGAAGAGAGGAGAGAGAAAAGGATCAGCATGTGCTCTGTGTGTGTACCAATATCCCACGGTGAATATATTCATGAGATATTGCAAACATATAGAAATAATATTTTTATAAAGAATATGTTTATTTATTTATTTAGGGACTATGTATTCCAGGCTGGCCTTGAACTCACTATGTAGACCATGCTGGCCTTGAACTCAGGGTGATCTTCCTGCCCCGGCCTCCTGGGTGCTAGGATTACAGGCATGTGCTACCATACCCAGCCTAAAAATGTACAGTGTGTATGCACACACACACACACACACACACACACGTGCTTCTTGCATACATTGGTGTACTCACTCAGTTGTAAGGATAACATACACAGCCCTGTGCATCACAACAGCCAGAGAAGTCAGCAGGACCAAGATTTTACTCATGGTCTACGTTCAGTAAGTACTTGGAGATGGAGGGCTGGGAATGTACCTTAGAAGCAGAGCATTTGCCTAAAATGCATGAGGCCCTGGGTTCCATCCCCAGCCCAGCACCTCTCAAAAAAAAAAAAAGTGGATAGAAAGGGATGGTGGTATGGCTTAGACACGTGTCCCCGAAGACTCCTGAGGTATAAACCAGGTAGGAAGTTCTCACCACAGGCCAACGTGATGGAGCCAAGCAGCCATGGACTGAAACCTCCACACTGTGAGTCAGAAAAGAGTTTTCTTCTTCCTCAGTGGATTGTCTCAGACAAGCTGACCCAGAAGGACCAGGGAAGGAAGACAGAAAAGAAAGGACTACAGGTGCCATACTAGGAATTCATGCAGCTCGGTGGTGGCGAGGCCCTGGGCCCACCCCAGCACTGGAAAAAGTAACTATAATAATAACAGGGTTGTTCAGGGCCAGCAAGTCCTGGGGCTCGTGGCTGCTGGAGTCCTCCTCCATTGCCCCTCCCCAACTGTCACAGTTCTTGGAAGAGGGAGTCTCAGTCGACTCCCGCCTAAAATCCTCACCTCCCACTCAACTCGCAGCCCACAGCAATCTGTCACCGCCCCGCACTTCTCCAGAAATGCTGCCTGAGACGTCCTTGAAACCCTCTTCATGCTGCAAGCCCCATGGTTCCCTTCCCCATTCCCAGGCCACCCTACCTCTAGGTCCCTTTCCACAGCCTTCTACCCTCTTGTCCTGAAAATTCGCACCATGTGGCTGCCTGTCCGCACCGCTGTTTCTCTGGTTTCCTTCTTCTCTCTTTAAATCTGGCCTCCCCCACACCATGGGCCAATGGGTCCAAATCCCTGGCCACCTGGGGCTGTCCGGGAATGTCTGAAAGAAAACATGAAGCTGGGTGTTCAGAGTGAGTTGCAAGCTGTGTCCCAGTCAGCTCTGTTACCTCTTTGGCTCAGGCTCCTTACCTCTCGAATGGAGTTAATACTAATCCTGGCCTCCCTGCATGGACTTGAGGGTTAAAAGCTTCAGCAGGTGCTCTGTGAATATGGTGGCTATAATTTTTATTGCATTGATCATGCTATTAAAGAGGAGGACAAGAAAGGTGTCTGATGTCATTCACTTACTGATAGCCTTCATTAGCCTTTCTGTTCATTTTCTGTTCAGTGATCCCCAGTGCTGCATACAGAATGGACAGTAAAGAAAGAGTTCATCTTCAGTCTCAAACTCCCTGTGCCCAGTAGGCACATAGTAGCTAGCAGTTAATTTGTTAAATAAACAACTCCATCAAGAATTAGCGACATGCTCTCGAATCTTGTTGTTACAACAGGAGCTTGTCACCCTGGAATCTGTGCAAACCTCCTTTGGAACCAATTACATTTTCACTTCGTGCTGGTGCTCAGCACAATCAGCCCCAGGCACTGACTTCCTTCCCTCTGACCCGCTGTGATTCTAAAAGACACGAAGAAGTGCTGATCCAGAGCGAGAGCCTGGGACTGGTGGTCATCCACTGTGGGACTCAGGCTGTGTTCTGCTGATGCGCAGTTCTGTGAGTTTAGGTCCGTTGCCAGCCTCTCTGAACTCCGCTGTTCTGGTTTTATTCAAATGAGCATGATTATCTTCATGTCTCAGGGTGGTCTTAAAGGTGAAATGAGACCACGTGCAGGAAAGGACACTGTACAAATACTAAGGTCTCAGACTCACCTCTTGCATTTTAACGTTTCCCTTTATGAAAGTAGCCAGGTCAATTTCCTGATAATTGTATGTAGTAAATAAATATCTATGGCTCATCTCCTTGGTTATTTCATGGCCCCTGAAGAGCCTTAGTCTTTTTACTTGGGCCCACGCCCCCTCCCTGCTTTGGAGTCTTCGTCTTGGGAACTCCTCTGTGTATCATTTCTCCATCCAGGTGTAGGAGCCCAAGGAGCACAGCCCAGTGTCTCTGGTGTGGACGTGCTTAGGTCGGAACATGCGTGGCTCGTGTCCAAAGCCGACCCAGTGCAGCACAGCCTGGTGGGTAAGCACGTGGGCTCGAAGTCACACTGCCAGGGTTCAAAGCCAAGCTCCGCCCTTTGACAAATGATTCAAGTCTCTGAGCCTCAGTGACCTCTTCTGTAAAATACGGCTTCTGTTCATATCCTTTTTATTACGGTGAGGGCTGAGTGGGTTTGTATTTATAAAGCACTTGAATCTTTGGCTGCTATGGAGATATTTGTAAATATATAGTTCTCGGGAAACAGAAACATTAAGACTTCCTTATTCCTTTCCTGGGAAAGCCTTTCATCTCCTGGAAACAGCCATCACGGTGCTCATTTACATATCATTTAAAACTCATTTAAACATCCGTATTGCTCATCCATTCATTCACCAAGTGCTTCTAGTTCTTTTGTAACTTTCCAGACATGACATTGGTCCCTAGATGCAATACCACACACTAGGCCTGCCCTAGTGGTACACTGATGCCAGCTCACTCTAGCTGGAGAGATGATTATTACATTTTCAAGGACTTTTGGGGAACCACAACTGTTAGTGTCTCCAGGTTTGCCAATGTGTTTGTATTTACCCTGCAGCAATGTTCAGACTTTGCAGAGCAGCCCACCCTTAGCATATAGCCCGGGCCCCACCATTATAGGGCAGTAGAAGAGGCACAAGGTAATCAAGCAGCCCCAGAAATGAGTGGAAGTTAGAGATGTGGGGAGACTCCACAAAGGAGAGGGCAGCAGTCCCGGGAGAGCTCATCACTGAGCAGCATGACCTTGCCGAGGAGAGCGGGAAGGGCTCTGTGCGGGTAAGGGATGAGAGAGGAGCCAAAGCCTGCAGGAAGAGGAGCGGTGAACTGCAGGAGGAGTGGCTGGAGTCCTGAGATGACTGCCAGACCAAAGTTGGGGTGCACGGTGTGGAGCAAGACAAACCTGAAGAGGGAGAGTTTTTCTTGACAGTGGCTGACGCAGGAACACGCCGGTGCTGTAGAAAGACTGCGGCAGCCACAGCATGCAAAGGGAACTCTAAGACAGAGTGGGGAGCAGTGAACAGGCCACTACAGTGGTCCAGCAAGACATGAATGCAGCTTGGACTGGGGCAGAAGACGAGGACGCAGATCTTGACCTAGGACTGGATGTAGCAGGAAAGGAAGGTGTCAGATGTGTCCCGTGGCTTAGTGGAACTGCAGTCTCCTGGTGAGGGTGTGATGGTTCCACTTTGTGCCCCGCACCTGCAGCTGCCTAACCTTGGAAATTATAAGCCAGAGGCACTGTGAAGTGAACGATCCTCAAGTGTGTGCACAGTTCTCAAACTAAAAACCGACATGGCAGAATTGGCATCAAAGAGAGGAAATAGAAAAGGGTTAGGTACCAGGAGGAGTTTCCTACAGGTCATTTGATGACAGAATAATCTGCTCCAGGCAGTGCTAAGCTACTCTGGAGATGTAGTGTAGACACAGGAATGGGACTGTGATACTCGGGCAGGGATCCCATGTGAGGACTTCATCCTGAGAGACTGCGATAGAATGTCTCAGTCGTAATAGTCTGAGTACAGTTTTCTGCAAAACCCTTGCCTCATGACCACCCTGTACCCTTTTAGTAGGTTTGCACTAGCAGTCCCTGTTCTCCCCCTTCCCTCAGGTAGCCATCAGCTAGGGGACTTTGCAGATCCCTTCCAGTACCAGAGTTCAGACATTCTCTGGCCCCCAGGATGAGGCAGACGTGATGAGGTGACAGTTTCTGGCCTTGCTGCTATCTCCCACTACCCTTACCATAAGAACTGGGTTCCCAGGTCAGTATGATGGCCCAGAAGGAAGCCAGGATACACACTGAGCACAACTTCCCATGCTGAGGTCCCTTGGCAAACCCAGACCAAAGTGGAAGACCCGCAGGGAAACCCAGGCCAGATCAACCTCCGGCCTCAGATAATTAATCTCTGCT